ATCGCAGTAAATTTTCCAATTTAAGCAATTGGAAAGAAGAAGCCTGAAAAAAAAATCAGGGCTTCAACGGAATCTGAACCAGTGACCTCCGCGATACCGATTGGAAAATTTACTGCGATGATCATTCTTCACTTTCAAAGGTAATCTTTACCACCAACCGATCAATAAGGGTAATCTTTACTACCACCCAATCAATAGAGGTAATCTTTATCACCAACCGATCGATAAAGGTAATCTTTACCACCAACAGATTAATAAAGGTAATCTTTTCCACTAACCAATCAATAAGAGTAATCTTCACAACCAACCGATCAATAAGGGTAACTTTACCACCAACCGATCAATAAAGGTAGTCTTTACCACCACACCATCAATAAGGGTACATTTACCACCACCCGATCAATAAGGGTTACCTTTACCACCAACCGATCATAAAGGATAACCTTTACAACCAACCAATCAGTAAAGGTAATCTTTACTACCAACCGATCAGCAAGGGTAATCTTTACCACCAACTGACCAATAAGGGTAACCCTACCACCGACCAATCAATAAAGAAAATCTTTACCGCCAACCGATCAATAAGGGTAATCTTTACCACCAACCGATCAATAAAGGTAATCTTCAACACCTACTGATCAATAAGGATAATATTTATTACCAACTGATCAATAAAGGTACTCTTTACCACCAACTGATCAATAAAGGCAATCTTTACCACCAACAGATCAGTAAGGGTAATCTTTACCACCAACCAATCAATAAGGGTAATCTTCACAACCAACCGATAAATAAGGGTAATCTTTACCACCAACAGATCAATAAGGGTAATTTTTACCACCAACATATTTGTAACGGTAATGTTTATAACCAACCGATCAATAAGGGTAATCTTTACCACCAACCAGTCAATAAGGGTAATCTCCACAAACAACCGATCAATAAGTGTAATTTTTACCACCAACCGAGCAATAAGCATAATATTTATTACCAACTGATCAATAAGGATAATCTTTATCACCAACCGATCAATAAAGGTACCGGTAGCTTTTCAGTCAATAAGAGTAATCTACCACCAAACAATCAATAAGGGTAACTTTACCAACACCCGATCAATAAGGGTAATCTACCACCAAACAATCAATAAAGGTAATCTTTACCACCAAACGATCAATAAGGGTAATCTTCACCACCAAACGATCAATAAGGGTAACTTTACCACCAAATGATCAATAAGGGTAATCTTCACCACCAAACGATCAATAAGGGTAATCTTTACCACCAAACGATCAATAAGGGTAATCTTTACCACCGTGCTACATTCATATGGTGTAAACATGTTCTCACTGTCATTGTGGGTCTCATCTTGGATCGTCAGTATGTGCGCAATGAACTATACATTTTTTCTATAAACTAAAGAAACAGTTTGCAATTTCTACGTACTGATGTACACGTTACTTAAGTAACAGCATATACAGTGTACATAACGTGTTGTGCGTTACAATATCTTCATATCGATCAGAAATAACAGCACGTTTTTTTCCGCATTTGCTTTTTGTTCTTTTGTTTTCGATTCCCGCGTATTTTGATTTATTCGTGTTACGCAGTTATTCTAGGTAACACCTATTGTACAAAACCAGTATATTGATTTGTATATTCAAATTCATTCTAGTTGTAACTGACAATGACAGGAGTTTAACTGTCGAAACCTGTATTTGAATACGAAAAGTGTTGTCTTTTTTTAAATTTATTAGTTGCCTGCTGTTGACAAGACCGAATGGCAAGAAGATAGCAATGTACTTAGGATTTTTTTCCTTGCATGTTCATGCCACTATTGTTTTCATTCACTGAACTTCGATTCATTAATTCTTTGCATTTTTTATGCAATAAAACATGCACCTGTTTTTTCAGGGTTTCTCACACAGATTTTATGATACTGTTTTTGTTGTAAGCTTAGTTTTTGTTATGGAATAATAGTGGCATCTTACATAACATCTACCCAATTTGTCTACATGCATATCTCAGGGAATTAAACAAAGAAAAATAAAACTGGTTTCACACACTCGTAGGATTGCTCGATACAAGTACATTCATAGAGAAAAACGAATTACGTATCACTGTGAGACATGATTGATCATCGCAATTACATACACCACAGTTGTGAAAAAAAATTCAGGCTTGAACGGGATTCGAATCCATGACCTTAATGAATCTACCGATTCATAGTCAGGAAGAGAGGAGGCACATGCCCACCCTGCTTTTCTTTTTGTATATACATTAGAGCAATGGTATTAATTCTACCCTCCCTACTATCCTGTGCTCATTCACAGGTAAATACTTATCTAGCTTGCTCGCGCAATCTCACATGACTCCTCTGTTCCTGACCATGAATCGGAAGAATCTACATCAAACTTCAACTTACAGGCAAGTTTCGTTTAATTCTTAAACAAGACACTTTAGGAAGCGTAACTGGGTTGCATTTATGATAGCAAATATTTCAGAATTGGAAAAAGGAAACGGTAAATTGTATACGATGCATGGAAAGCTAGATATTACAATGGCATGTCTTAAAATAGAAGATAGAAAAAATATGAAAGAATCGAGGAAACGCTGAAGGTTTTGTCATGTGGATGTGTTAAACTCAAGCAGTTACCTTTCTCATTGATGTACTTGTTGTTTAGGCAAAATGACTGCCTCCATTGTAATTGTGGAATTTTAAGGCATACAACGATTTTACGTGAAGAGTCTCCAGAGTCAAGCGGCCCCTCAAGACTGTGGTCTGTGGTTATTTCTGGTTTATTTGTGTAGCATGGAGCAACCAGGAGTATTTCCACTCCCTTCTCCGCCCCACCCCCCAACCACCACCAGCAGTAAATTTTGCACTTGAACCGGCTAACAACATATTTAGAAGAAATAAACTGATCATGTCGAAATTTCAATTGTTTTTCTGATTCTTTATTACTGTAACTTTCTTCAGTAAGAGGTGTACCTTTCTTCGCACTGTCATGGCTTCTGACCATATTGTTACTCATTTCGAATAAACATTTCACGGGCACATTGGCCGTCATATTTCGCCTTAGTGTCAATTCCTTTGCTAAGTGCCACAACTATGACCGTAAACAGTGCACTAAATTATACTAGGCTTCGCACAAGTTCAAAATACAACCACTAAAATACATAATTACATGTAATGACACAAGAGACAAAGCTGAAGATTACCAGGGAAAACATTTAAAATCTCACTTCAACTGAGTGTTCTTGCATCATGGCTCCAATGATTTCCT